GCAGCACAGCCCTCTGAGCTATCAGCACTCCTCCCAGTTTTGTATCATAAGGAACTTGCTGAGAAGTCAACTCTGTCCCCTCAGCCAAGTCACTGATAAGGAAGTTGAACAAAACTGGTCCCAGTATGGAACCCTAGGGGACACCACCAGTGACAGCCTCCAGCTAGACTCTGTGCCACTGATCACAACTCGGATCTGCTGCTCAGCCAGTTCTCAGCTCACTTCACTGTCCTGTGCTATTAGAGGAGAACATATTTGTGCTGTCTAAATGGCATTGGGCGGGTTGTATTCAGTGGAACAGCTGCACTGTTGATCAGAATGCATTTAGCCTCTAAAGAACTAAACAACTTTCCGGGTATTTTAAGCAGGACCAAATGTGAGTCTGACCAGCAAAAAGAATTTTCTTATGTAGTTTGAAAAGAGCTAAGTCTTTAGGCTCCATCATGTTCACCCCTCCTTACACTTCTTGCAGTGCCCTGTGCCTACGTGAATGTTAGGCAACTTGTTCAGTCCTCAGTGGAAGATCTTTCTGATAGCTCTGGGGTTTCCACGGAATTTGTTTTGTGTATAAACTGCATGGATCAGATAAGATGGACTGTGAAGAGGTTCTTGGTACCTCAGAACATGTGGTATGCCTATTAAATTTGTGCTGCTGTTTTCTCTGCTCTGCAGGTGTTTACACGTGAGTGCATGAGCCACTATCTAAGAGTATTTAATTTCCTCTGGAGAGCAAAGCGAATGGAATATATCCTCACTGATATATGGAAAGGGCACATGTGCAATGCTAAGCTTCTGAAAAGTATGCCAGGTGAGAGGGCTCCAAATGGATGATGTGTTTCTAAACCTTGTTTTGAACTGTGTTGGAGGGGGGAAGAAGTCTGTTGGGACAGATGAGTTTTGTTGTTCCTACTGACTGGGTGTTTAATGGTAGGTAATGATGATGAAGAAGATAGAATGATGGAGTCATTAAGGTTGGAGGAGACCTCTCAGATCATCGAGTCCAACCATTAACCTGTCACTGCTGAAACCCCTAAACCCTAAACCAGATCCTCCAGTGTCAGATCCAGATGCCTCTTCAACACCTCCAGGGATGGTGACTCCACCACCTCCTTGGGCAATATCCCAGTGCCTCAACACCCAAATAAGTTTGACTCAGAACCAGAGGTCTATTGCATTCCTCCTTTCTTTTCCCTTTGAGACTACAGTGCAGTTAACAGATTTTATTCCCATCACCTGAGGCTCTTCAGGCTGGAGCTGTCTCCCATTGCTAGGGTTTTATTTGTTCCTATGCTCTCAAGAGGAAGTGTGTTTCCAGCACTGTGAGCACAGTGTCATCTTTGATTCACACGTTCCAGGAGGTAATTGTGCCATGTTCTTGGCTCATCTGTTGCTAGCCAGTATTGCTGCTGCTCTTCAAGATTAGTGGCTGTTATGTGAAGTATTCAGTTTGGTAGGAAATAAAGCTGTTTTGATGGTTGTGATTGCCCTTGCAGTGTTTAACCTTCCGTCTCTTTGGATGTTTTGCAGAACTTTCTGGGGTTCTGCACCAGTGCCACGTTCTGGCATCCGAAATGGTCCATTTCATTCACCAAATGCAGTATTACATTACATTTGAGGTATGACATATCCACCCAGTTAGTTCCTTGCAAATGAAGTGCTTTTAATGTTCTCAGTGGGTTGTGTGTCGTAAATTTCAAAGAGCTTGTCATGTAGCACAGCAAAACAGCCTAATCCTGAATCATTGCACCAGGTGCTCGAGTGCTCATGGGATGAACTCTGGAACAAGGTCCAACAAGCACAGGACTTGGATCATATCATTGCAGCTCATGAAGTTTTCCTGGACACAATCATAGCTCGGTGCTTGCTGGATAGTGATTCCAGGGTAAGTCCTTTGCATTCATTTGTAACTTCATGATCTTGCCTTATGTGTTAGGAACCACCTTCTCTTGTGCTGTAGGAGTGAAGGGGGAAGTAATTTTTCTTCCTCTGATACATGAGTTTATAATTGTAGGCTCTGTATCTACTGCCTAGACACAGTGACAGATCACAGAATCATAGAACAATCAAGATTGGAGGAGACCTCTAAGATCATCATGTCCAACCATAAACCTGTCACTGCTGGAACACCTAAACCCTAAACCAGATCCTCCAGTGCCAGATCCAGACACCTCTTCAACACCTCCAGGGATGGTGACTCCACCACCTCCCTGGGCAATATCCCAGTGCCTCAACACCCTCACAGGGAAAACATTTCTCCTCACATCCATTCTGACTCTGCCCTGGCTCAGCTCAAGGCCATTCCCTCTAGTCCTCTCCTTGCAGCCATGGCAGGACACACATCCCACACCTCTCTCCAACCCTGGCAGGGAGTTGCAGAGAGCCAGGAGGTCACCCCTGAGCCTCCAGGCTGAACAAACCCAACTCCTTCAGCCCTTCCTCATCCCACAGCAAATTTGCTGGCAGATTTGCTATTGTTTGGGTTGGATTTGGTCCTAAGAGTCTGTGTGATCATGTAACTACTGACTTAGGGCCTTGCCAAACAGTCTCTCCAGCTGTGTGTTAAAAAAAAATATTTTATTGACTGATGTTTTGGAGAGTGGTAGGAATTTGAAACTCTTTGCTGCTGTACAACTGTTTAATTGTCTTGTTGCTGAACTGTCTCACAGGTACTTCTCAACCAGCTGCGGGCAGTTTTTGATCAGATCATTGAGCTCCAGAATGCCCAAGATGCAATGTACAGAGCTGCTCTGGAGGAGTTGCAGCTGAGGTTGCAGTTCGAAGAGAGGAAAAAACTGCGTGAGCTTGAGGTGCAGTGACCAGATCTATTACTAGAACATGAAAATGAGTTGAGGCAGATATACTTGTCTTTTGATACATGGAGGGTTTGAGAAATCATGTAGAGGTACAGCAAAAATAAATGTAGTTGGGACAGGTGACAAGTCATTAGCAGTAGCTAGTGAATCTAAACAAAACTCCTGAATGGTGGTTTTGATTTAAGTCTTTAAGTGAGTAGATTTCTTTAGTGGCCTGTGGGGGATGAGAAATTTCAGGCTCTTTTAAGTGAAGTAAATGGAAGAAGTTTTAATATTCTGAATCCTTTTGCATAAATCTGCCATAGCTTAATCCTGTCTCCCACCTGTCAGTGTGTGGGCCCTGCACCTGGTGTGAGACTTGCCTGCTTGGCTAACCTCACATTTCTTCCATGTGCTGTACAACCACCCTGGGGACTGATGGTTCCATGGAGGCTTCATGTTTGGCTCTCTGTGGCAATGATTGGGTTTTATGAACGTGGTGGTTTAGCTGGGCACAAAGTCACCTGGTTAGCAACTCACATAGTGTGACTCTTGACCTCTTGACTCATTGGGTCTCTCTGTAGGGCAAGTGGGGTGTAACTGCATCAGAGGCTGAAGAGGAGAACAAGAGGATGAAAGAATTTCAAGACTCAATACCTAAGATGTGCTCACAGCTGCGGATACTCACTCACTTCTACCAGGTGCCTCTTAGATCATACTGCTTGTAAACATGTTAAGCTTTGATGTGTAGAAGTGAACCCTTGTGCTTACCTTTGCCCAGATTCCCTCTGGGCACCATCTGGGTGCAAAACGCTCCAGGGATGTTTTCTTAGCTGTCTCTTGGGGTTTTTTTCTCCCTCAGGGAATCGTCCAACAGTTCTTGGTCCTGCTGACAACCAGTTCCGACGAAAGCCTTCGGTTCCTCAGCTTTAGGTTGGACTTCAACGAGCACTATAAGGCCAGAGAGCCAAGGCTGCGTGTGTCCCTGGGCACTAGAGGCAGACGAAGCTCACACAGGTGAACCAGCTGCTAAGGACTTCACCTCGGTATCCGAAGGGTGTTGAACCTCTTGTTGGCCATGGCAATCAGTGTTGACATAATGCAGCCAAATTGTGAGTGATTGGTGTCTCCCATTGCTGCAGGCAACATGTTTTCAGTCATGTGATTGTGACCCTGTTAGAGCAGAAAGCAAAAAAAAAAAAAAAAAAAAAAGGTAGGGTTTTTTTACACTGATGTTTCTAGAATTACCAGACTAAATGGGCTGATTGAACCTCTTCCAATCAACTTGTGAAGTCATCCTTTCAAACAGATGCCAATTTGATTTGAAGCTTTCTGAGCTCTCTCCGCTGTAACTTATATCTGCGTCAAGGAAATTGCATCTTTTGTTTATAGAAAGCACCATTTCCTTTTTTAACAAGAAAATAAGAAGGTTATTTTTTCTATATGTACTTGTTCTATTTGAAGAGAGCTTTTGTTAAAGCCACCAGCTTAGGGCCCAGACCTGTTGTCCTCGTTAAGAAGCTAAGACAGCATTTCATTATGCTGATTTTCAGTGTCGTGATGTGTTTGTGTGAGAAACTTTGTATCAGAAGACATAAACTTATATTTAATTTTTTTTGTTGTTGTTTTCAAAGTTAAAAACCCTGGAATTAAAATATAGTGGGGGAAATTCTATGTTTACTGTACAGGAACAAACTATAGGAGCAGAGCCAGTGGCAGAGCCATCTGTTGCACACAGGATCTCAAAAGTGAAGTTAAAGCCTCAGGACTGTGAAGGAAAGTGTTGGTTAAGAACAAGTAGTTGATGTTCAAAATCAGATGTGTAGAGACAAACTGACTTGGCTGATGGTGACTTCATTCCCTTCCCATTCCTGTTTTTCCACTGTACATATTTCTGTATCGCTGTCTGGACGTTGGGGAGAGGGAATCCTTCTTTTCAAAGTTGTCATTATATCAGGTCATTTATTATGTTCCACAAGTGCAAGCTTAGAAAAATAAAAACACAATTATCTTTCAAACAAGTGTGTTGCTTGTTGTAATTGAAAGTGGATGGTTTTTCCACAGAAAGGAGAAGCTTCCATCTAGGAATGTATTGATTTACATGTATCCATTACACCCATTTTGGTGCTAGTCTTATAGAATCATAGAATTTAGAATTTAGGGGTTGGAAAGGCATTACAGATCATCTAGTCTCACCCCTCTGCCCTGGGCAGGGACACCTCCTCACTAGATCAGGTTGCTCAAGGCTTCATCCACCCTGCCCTTGAACCCTGCCAAGATTGGGCCAGCCACAGCCTCCCTGGGCAACCTGGGCCAGTGTCTCACCACCCTCACAGGGGAAAATGTTTTTCTCATATCCAACCTAGACTTTCCCTCCTTCAAGTCCTATTACCCTTGTCCTATCACTGCAGTTCCTAACACAGAGTCCCTCTCCAGCTCCTTGTAGCCCCTTCAGACAGTGAGGAGTTGCTCTGAGGCCTCCACGCAGTATTCTCTTCTCCAGGCTGAAGAGCCCCAACTCCCTCAGCCTGTCCTCATAGGGGAGATGCTCCAGTCCTCTTAGCAACTTTGTGGCCTCCTCTGGACTTGCTCCAACAGTTTCATGGTGTCCTTCTGATGTTGAGGGCACCAGAACTGTGTGCAGTATTCCAAGTGGGTCTCAGGAGAGAGAGATACTCCAATTAAAGATAATTCTTAACAGCACATTCACTAGGCAAAGCTGCTCTTTATTTTGTGAGGTATTTAATGCCACTTCTGGGTTCTATGTTCTGCTGTTTGAGTTCCAGTGTCTGAAACACAGACAGATCTGGTGGTGAAGCAGTCACATCTCTAGGATGAAACAGCATCCTGAAACAGCTCCTGGCACCCTGTCCCAGGGCCAGTGCTAAATGACCCCACAGGCTCAGCCACCTCCTTTTCAGGGTTGCCAAGGCCTGGAGAATTTTTGGAGGAACTGCAGGAAAAAGCGACTAAAATCATCACCCAGCTTAGGATGTGGTGCAGCATGTGACAGTCTGGGGTGAAGAGCTATCCACCTAGTGCTCCCAATAGCATAAATGCTTTTAAAGGAGAAGAACTGGAAGGTGTTTATGTCTTTTTCTTTTAAACTACAAGGTAGATTTTGTCCTGGTAACTGACACGAAAATTATATCTTAACCCGTATGAACTCTGAAGAAGAAAATGTTAAAAAACAGCCCCTGAAAATTTTATCTCCCTCGGTAAGTTGCATCAGCTCAGCTGGCTCAGGGTACAATTCAGTGTCTTAGAGGAGTCCACTGGGAAATGAAGAAGCTCATGATATAATGTATTTTTCAGTGGATTTGTTATAGGCTTAGGGTGAGATCAAGGACAGAATATATTCATAATCCAGTTTTATTTTAGTGATTCTATTTTTCACTCAAGGCCTTGTGGATTTTTTCCTCTTATAGCAGATTCAGTGAATAGATGCCAAGGGCTCTCCACTCTATACAGGAGCATGTATTGATTAAAAAAAGCCTAAATCTATGTGGCTTATTTTGTTAAAATGAGCTAGGAAATGATTTTATTTTCCTCCTGTCACATATGTAACATGTCTCTGTTTTGGACAAGAACATTTTCAACCTTTAAAAAGAGCACTGCTATGAAGAATGGCCAGCTGTCTTTCATAGGATCATAGAACCACCAAGGTTGGAGGAGACCTCTAGGGGCATTGAGTCCAACCATTAACCTGTCACTGCTGGAACCTCTAAAACAGATCCTCCAGTGCCAGATCCAGAGAGCCAGGAGGTCACCCCTGAGCCTGTTCTCAAGGCTCCCCAGACCCAACTCCCTCAGCCCTTCCTCATCCCACAGGTTTTCCAGCCCTTTGCTGCCCTCGTTGCCCTTGGCTGGACTCGCTCCAGTGCCTCAATGGCCTTTGGGCAGTGAGTGCCCAAAGCTGAGCACAGCACTGAGCTGGGACCTCCCCAGTGCCCAGTGCAGGGGGATGAGCACTGCCCTAGTCCTGCTGCCACACTCTGCTGGAGCCAGGCCAAGATGCCCTTGGCCTCCTTGGCCACCTGTGCGGACTGGTGGCTCCCACTGAGCTGTGCCACCAGCACTGCCAAGTCCCTTTGTGACCAACACCTCTGTCCCCACTCCTCCCCCAGCCTGGAGCTGCATGGGCTGTTGTGTGCCAAGGGCAGGACCAGCACTGAGCCTTACTGACCCTCCTGCAGTTGTCCTCAGCCACTGATCAAATTGGTCCAGGTCTCTCTGTAGAGCTTTCCTACCCTCAGGCAGATCCACACTCCCATCCAGCTGTGTGTCCTCTGCAAATTCTCTGAGGGTGATGTTTCCTTATGGTGACCTTATAAATCAGGTGTGGGTGTGCACACCTGTACATATTTCACTTTTCACCCAAATGAGCAGCCTCAGATGACAGAACATATTTCACACTCACATAAAGGTGCTCAGAGCCTTCTCTTAAGTGCCTAATTAAATTTGAAAACCATCTTTTGGCTACTTGAAACATAAAATACCACTTGAACCTCTAATAAGATTCTGCTAACTGGTGAAAGGAAAGAGTTGGGAGAGCTGCAAGAGATGTGCAAGCATTTGCAAGTAGAGCAGAGATAGATCCAAGAACTTGCTGTTTCAGAAGTCGGAGGAAATAGTTTTGTCTTCAAGATGGTGAAGGGCCTTGAGGGGAAGCCACATGAGGAGTAACTGAGGTCACTTGGTGTGTTCAGCCTGGAGAAGAGGAGACTGAGGACAGAGCTCATGGCTGGATACAACTTCCTCAGGGAAGGAAGTGCAGGGGCAGCACTGACCTCTTCTCTCTGGCACCCAGGGACAGGACCCAGGGAATGGGCTGAAGTTGTGTCAGGAGAGGGTTAGGCTGGAGATTAGCAAATGATTCTTCCCCCAGAGGTGTTTGGGCACTGAACAGCTCCCAGGGCAGTGGGCACAGCCCCAAGGCTGACAGAGCTCCAGAGGTGTTTGGCCAATGCTCTCAGGCACAGGGTGTGATGGTCAGGGATGTCCTGTGCAGGGCCAGGGGTTGGACTGGATGATCCTCAAGGATCCCTTCCAGCTCTGATCATTCTGGGATTCTCTGGTTTCTACACGGGCATTGAATCATCACCTTCTCTCTCCTATTTAACAAACTAAAATTACTTACAGTGCCAAGGATAACAGTGAAGAGTTACAAGTAAAATGCTCTATTTCTTAGTCTACAGAAAAGCTTCTGTGGCCATTCATTTAAGGAGTCATATATCATTCTGAGGTTTGCTGAACTCAGTTTCAAAGTATAAAAATACCTTAGTTTTATGTTGACAAGAAATACTATTAATTGAATGTATGAACTACTCAGTATTAAATACTACAAAGTATGAAAACAGGCTCCCTGATGTAGTATTTTGACCATTTTCTCTTAGCCTGAGGCAATGGAGTCTCTAAGGCATCAGAATCTCTCATAAGGACTAAGTTGATGCTTACTTTCTTTGACCAGAAGAGCAGCAAAGGTGCCTCAGTCAGTACTTTTCTTTTTGTTTCAAAGCTAGCTCTTTGCTAACACACTTTGGCTACCAAATATTGTACATTCTCTCAGCAAATCATTGGGCTAAAACCTGCTTGGAAATAGAGACTCAAGTGCAGGTGAAAAGACAAAGATGAGCAGAAGTGTATTAGGTCAGGAAAGTTAAAGAAGCCAAAGTGATGGATATTCACTCCCAGAAGGAAAAAAAGTGCAGAGGAGCAGAGATCCTGAAAGGCACAAAATGGTGACCCAGCCAATGCTCAGGGAAGAGTAGAGAAAAAAAAACATTCCAAGAAGAATCTGAGCAGTGTAGGAGGTGAAATTTCTCTCACTCTGCTGTTAATTTACTTTTGCTCTTTGTGGAATGAATGATGTTAAATGTTTTCCCCACAAGTTATCAGAACAGCAATTAAGTTAGCTAAACATTCGGGTATAGGAAATGCAATTGGAGTGATTATTACCATCAGCCTGAATATGAGAAGATATGATAGGAAGAAGCTGTCACAAGCTGATTACCCTGGGTG